CAATGTGAGAATTAATTTGCTTTCTAAGAATAGAGTAATTAATAGAGTAATTGCATCAGCTTGTAGGTCTTGTGCGATAAACAAAACTTGCTGCCAAATAAGATTCTTGCAAGACATTTGACTTTTTAAAGTTAATTTTCACATTCAATACAGTGCAATTTCAATACATTTTTACCTTTGCTAGGTTAATTGCATGAACAAGTAGTACATTTAGAAGACTTTACTTCTAATTTCTCTCTTTGTATTTAAATGTTCTGTCTGTCTGAGAAGAGGCTGTGTGCACTCAGATGGACACAGCTGGTTGTGTAATGATAGTTTCATGCTGTGTCCCAAATAATTCCCTTCTCCATCTGAAAAACTGTGTGTGGAGGGAGGAGCCTGGGGGCAATGTGTCAATCGCTATGAACGTGGACTACATGCTACAACACAATAATGTTTTCTTTAAGTGATAGTGAACAAAAACAATGACATGCATACTTTAGGTCAGATTTCAGAGTCTAATCCTACATTGCCTAACAGCCATGACAATTGTTCTGTAGCTTGAGTTAAGAAGCACAAAATTCTTCTCTAGCTTTTCTGTACTGAATTAGATGATTGGGTGTTTTGTGAACATTCTGTTGTATACCAAAGTACTACTAAAATGTTTGATTGTTGTTGGCATGTCTGTGTGGCAGCTTTTTTATAGGATGTGAGCTGGTAAGAGCAGGGTTTTGATTGGTTGAACAAAGTCAAAATAACCGAGAGAAGAATTAGATGACTTGTAAATTTTGTGCATGTTTGCTTGACATTTCATTATTGATAACTAATTCTTAATGTTAACAGTATTTATGTGAAAGTTAAAACTTATTTTATTCTTTTCCCTCTCTGGAAAGCTGAGGTGATTGGCCAATTGGATTTAAGAAGGCGGGGTCTGAAAGTTTATACAGGTGGACTTAATTTATGTCAAACCAGATTGAGAAGAAGATGACATGATGCTCCTTTCTTCTTAAATTTACTAAGCTTAGTCACAATTTACGAACAAATGTTTATTAAAAGTACCATACTTCTGCATTTTTGTTAAGAAAAAAACCCTCAGCAATTTATTGGATTTATCAAATTCTTAGAATCAAATTGATTGTACTCATTTTTTATATCTTCAATAGCACTGTGTTTGAATTGCAATGCTGATGAAAAGAAAATAAATCTCCTTTAGTTTTCTGCTCTGCTGGAGTGCAGAACTCTACAGCTCTCAGCATCGTGCAGCTGCTCAACAGCCTGTGTGTTTTACCTTTGTCCCACAGAAAAGAGTTTTTCTCCCTGATCTCACTGGCTCAGACGCTGTCAGAAGTTTTTTGAGTTTTCCGTAAATAATGTACTTTTATTAACGGAAAGCCCAAGTCATTGTTTTAGAAATATAGGGACTGTTTTCAGAGAAGTTGATTTTTGGAGGTGAAAACACATCTCAGCAATGACTAAAATTATCCATAGAAGAGGGGCATCCCCGGTGGGAAAAGGTGTCTCAAACTGATGGTTCACAATTCTTTTATTGAACATGTGAACACACTGTAGGAGCAGCAAAGTACACTAAATAAAATTACCATTAGTAACTCAAACAGTATGTTACTTTTATCCATTTGCCTTATTGAATTATCTTTACCTTACATTATGACATCTTTTAAACCTTGTCATCTCTATCTTGAGTGCCATCACAATGTGTTTACCATATATATTTATTAAACCCCTTTAGCTTTAATATTTCCTTTTAACCATATTGCAAATATCTGACTTTACAAAACAACATTAAAGCTAGTAAACTTTTGAATTACTGAATAAGCATTACTAATTTACCACAGCATGTGAGCACCATCTACTGGGCGAAAGCATAACTGTTGCACTTAGTAGCAAATTCTATGCTGATGAAATATAACAGATACATTTACACAGAGCCGGCCCAAGGCTTAAGCAAGGCTTTAAGCCACACCGAAGCACATGTGGTCATTTTTTGAGACAATGGAAGAAGAGAGAGATTTGAAGGATGTGGATTCTGTGCTATTGCTGTTTGTTTGCCTGATTGGGATTCTTCTGAAATTCTAAGGTGCAATGGGAGGAATGGTGTGACTACAACAAATGGGGAGAGAAGAAGAACATCCACAGGATATTCCTGTCCTTGGAGCGCTTGCAGCTGACGGAAAGAAGGTGACCCAGATACAGCAGGGTAAGCTAATGTTAATGTTTGTATATAACTATCAAACTATTCAATTGAATTAAGTTTATTGATAGCTTCACCAGGGCCATGCAGAGACATTTGAAGGGCCAGGGGCTCAAATTTAAAAAGAGGCACACTGAACAAGATCTTAAAACACCATACAACAACATAGCTACATATTAATCAATAATCTAATATTTAATTGGATCATACTGTATCATTGTCATCATGTGGGGACAACGCAAAGCAAATTTAATCTCGGTTTTCCCCAACAGGTATGATGTTGCTGTTTCTGCTGCTGTCAGAGCTGGAGGGCTGAGTTGATCTGAGACTGTAGTTTTTAAACTCGAACAGAGAAGAAGTTTGTTATGAAATAAGCAAATTTGCTGATATTGTACTAATTAAAACCTAATAATATGTGACTGTTTAATCTCCATATCAACTTGGCTGCAGACTGCTTTATAGATCAAAAACACTCAGAGGGGTTAACTCTACATATTTATTCTATGTTAGCACCTCAGAGATCTAGAATTGTAAGACTGGGATATCAAGGCAAAGAAAACTCAGTAGCTGCTGGTAGGGGCCAGTCAGGGGCCCCTAGAAATGGTTGAATTGTAACACAGACCACAGATCTAAAGCTGTAGCATTCATTTATAGAGAATGACAATGTTATTACATTTTATTTAATACATTCAGCTGAGAAAAAAAATATATTAAGGATTTAATTAGGAAGTTTACTTTGTAAAAAGTTTAAAGAATCATCTTGATAGTTTGATTGTTGTGTTACCATGGCTACAATATGCAGCAATCTTTGTGTTTGAGCTGGATTTGTTCACAAATACTTTGGGTCCAATAACTGAAGACCATAGAGACAATCGCTTGTGTTGTGTCACTGCCTTTGCAGGAGTCCCTCATATCATGCATGTAGCAATAGTGAAGAGGAAATAGTCTCCCTTAATAAGAAACCTCCAGCAGAACCAGAACCTGGCTCAGTACAAGCAGCCATCTGCCACGCCTGATTGGGGCCAGAGCAGAAGCACAAAAAGAAACAAAAGAAATGTTATAGGTGTCCTTTTTATGCTAATGAAAAGTAAAATATTTATAGCAGGAGAGAAAAAAATGGTTAGTTGATGTCGGCATTAACTCAGTCAATGTCCCCTTTCAAAGCTCTAGAACACTAGACCAGATGGAGCTTCTATGGAGAGAAAAACAGCTGAGAGAAAACCTGAAGATACAGGTCAAATGACAACAAATAATACAATCTAGAGAATAGTAGAAGAAGAAAGTGAGAAAAAGTGATCAGTTTGTTCTCTGGAGATGCAACAGTAAGCCTATAGCAGCATAACCATAGAGATATCTCAGAATATCCTAAGCTCTTAGAAAGAGGTTGAGAGAGGCAGAACCAGGAGAAACGTCTTTCTGGACTGTGCTCCCCTGCAGTGCTATTAAAACTAACCCTACAGGGGCAAATAGCTTGGGTGTTATGAATAGCTTGTTTCAGTGATGGAATTACTGCATGTTGGTGATGCATATTTATTAATGGAAATTCATATTGTGTGTGCTTTCAGATTTTGGTAAATCGTTGCTACACACCATCAGAGTGAGCATTCCCACAGACCTCAGGCGGTGGGATGTCCCCGTTCCCAGTGGGTGCATCACTGTAGGATGTTCAGAGAGACCTCCAACTTTCAGTACAATTAATGTGTCCAGCTTTAGAGCAGGAAACATCTTCTCACACTAGCTATTTTTTCATTGTTAACATATTTCTAAAGATGCTCTTTTACCTGCTGTATTTGGTATATTTTGTTGAATTATTATATTGCAATCTGCCCATTTGATTTTACTTTGGGGTTTGAAAGTGCAATAATTGTTTTATTGTGGTCCTGGTGGTCTACTGCTGATGTCTAACTTTTCTGTGTGATGTGGTTGCTGAACTTGAGCTGTCAAGTGTCTGGTGCCGTCAGTTTTTTTTTTTGTTTTTTTTTGTTTTGTTGTGTTTGGTAGATGCCGTCCACTACCACTGGCTCTTCTGTCGGTGACCTTAGTTCCAGTTTATGTTTATTTCTTTGCAGGATGTGAGGGAACAATCATATCACCCTGAATGTAAGCACAACAATATAGATGATTGTAGATTTTAGGAAAAACATGATTAAATTAAACCACATTTCCATCATGGGAGAAGAAGTGGAGGTGGTTGAGGAATATAAATACCTCAGTGTTCATCTGGACAACAGTCTGGACTGGTGATCCAACAGTGAAGCATCTATAAGAAGAGACGGAGCAGACTGGACTTCTTGAGGAAGCTAAGATCCTTCAAGGTTTGCAGCAAGATGCTGCAGATCTTCTATCAGTCTGTTGTTGAGAGCGTCATCTCTTCATCCGTCATCTGTTGGAGCAGCAGCATCAGAACCAGGGACATAAAAAGGCTCAACAACCTGATAAAGAAGGCTGGTTCTGTTCTGGTTCTGTTCTGGGGACGACTGTAGAACCTCTGGAGATGATGAGGCAAAGAAAGATTCTTCACAAGGTCAAGAAAGTTATGGACAACCTGACCATCCTCTTCATGAAACTGTCTTGGGAAAGCAGAGTATCTTCAGTCAGAGGCTTCTTCAGATTCACTGTATTACAGACCTCTACAGGAGATCTTCCTGCCAACAGCCATCACTGTCTACAATAACTCTTTAATTTCCCTTTGGGACCGATAAAGTATTTTTGAATTTTAATGTACAGATCCTTATTTTGAAGGTGAGACATATTCATTCATTCTTTCATTTGTCATTCAGAATTTTCAAAAGAGAAAAACATAGGACTCTAGTTCTTGTTTCCTGTCTTTCATTTCTTTCAAATTATGTCAGACTATAATATTCAGTAAAGATTCTAACTTTTTCATTTTAATTAACGACAAGCTTTTTTTTTTTTTTGTATTACCAGACATCAGATCATTGGTTGGCTCTTTCTTTAACTCTTGTTCTGGCTTGTTCCAGCTCAGTCATCATTGGTAGGAGACCGTCATACATGTTGGTCTTAATGGCTCTAAGTTTCTCCTGGTACTCCTTTGGCAAGCCATTTTGCTCTGCTCCCATTACAATCACCTAATGTTAATGACAAAAAAAAGTAAATATTTAAACTGGTGGCAGCTTATTTCTAAACAGCTATTCAATACTTCTATTAATCTTAGGGTCAGGATTAAATCACATTACTCTCATTTTCAAACCAATTAGTATAATAGTTTTGTCCTAAACATGATAATACAAAATTATTTTTTATCTTTTGATTTTGTTTTTAACTGTGGTTTTGACTTTGTAAATTCCAAATTGATTCCACAGTTTAGGTAAAAAACTGTGGATCAACTAAATATAGAGCTCTGAGAATGCAAATAGGACAACTATCTTATTTCTATGCACAACAACAAGCATAAAATAGTAGAGATCAAAAACTGATGAAGCATTATAAAACACAAAGGGGTGATGGCAACGTCATGCTTTGAGAACAGTCTGGCATTCTGGACAACATGCTGTCAGATCAGTGAACTGCAGAATGCCACACTGAGGCCCGATTGTTCTGCTTGTCAATGAAGTAAAGTCTTTGAGATCATTTACGAAGAAAAATAAATAGAGCTAAAACATAGGTTTATTGTTTCTAGATGGATTCTAGAGCCTTCACAATAAGTAAAAAAAAAATAAATAAAAATAAGTTATAATAATTTATAAAATAAAATATTAGTCAACTCTTTGTGTCTTGTGAGATAGCTAAAGAAGAAAAGAACCAGTGATTGACACGTCACAAAGTCGAGGTTTTCTTTTCATGTTTTTGTTTTTTGGTGGGTTTTTTGTTTCTGATCCACATTTAGGTTTCTAACAATTGTTCTACACATGAAAAAACATTAATTTAATGAAATACCTATCAAACTTAGGGTAGATTGTTAAAAAAAAAACCTGATAGAGTGATGGTAGTGGATGGATGTGACCTTCAGATGTTCTGAAATTTGTCTGGGCAATTTTGAAGAGGGACAGAGCTGTCTCCTGACCACCATCTGTTGAATTCATTAATGGTGAGTCTGCTGGACGTGATGAACCCAAATGAGTGTTGAGGGTGAACTGAAAACATTTGGGAGAAGCCGTAATACCATGAGTTCTTTCACTTTTCTCCAAAAGTGTTTATCTCAAGTTCCGGGGGAGGTTGGAGAATACAAATAAACTATGTTCAGTAACTTTATTTACAATCCAGTTTAGAAGAGCTATGCCCAGAAGATTATTGGAGCCTGATGAAACAGCAACCTGGGGATCTTTTGGTGGACCCCAGAAGTGTGAGAGGTCATCAGGCTAAGGAGACAAGTGGACTGATGATTATTTAAAAGAAACCAGGGTCCATCCTGATACAGTCCTGCAGTCAGTATCTGCCTCAAGCGAAGAATGAAACCATTCTTCCTATACCACAGTCTGATTTGTTGTGGTATAGGAAGAGCTGTGATAAAGCAAAGCTATTAATTCACTCTTTCATCTACATTCCAACCCTCACCTAAAGTCATGAGACCTGAATAGTGGAGCTTCCGCTCCTGATCTACATGAGTCTGTTGAAGTGGTTAGAGCAGGGGTGTCCAAAGTGGGTCCTCGAGGGCCGGCATCCTGCATGTTTTAGTTCTCTTCCTAGTCGTTGTAACAACCTCCTCAGCAAGTCAGTGTTCTGCTTAGGCCTTCTAATGAGCCATAATTTGATGCAGGTGGGTAAAACCAGGGAGAGAACTAACACATGCAGGATGCCGGCCCTTGAGGAGCATTTAAGCTCTTCCCTTTGAAGACTGTCCAGGCTGTCTCACTGGGAGGAGTAGATGTCTCTTCTGGCATGGCAATGGCTTGAAAAGCCCCTTAATGAGCCTCAATGTCACCAGGTAAAGGTTTGGCTGGATATACCTCTTGGGTCTGTTGCCCCTGCGACCTAATCTTGGACAAATGGAAGACAACAGGTGGGTGGATAATTTTTTCTGTGGTCTGGACACATCAGGCTCAACAGTTTTCCATTAATTGTTATTTTCTATAGAATTATTTGTGGTTCCTTTCACATAGTTTTTAATGTAAATTATTTCATATTTTCCAATGAATATTGACTTCTAGAGCCATTAATAATGAAGAAGAATCAGATATGTTTAAGTAACATTTTACATTATGTTGTGTACATAAAGAATTTATCTTTGCTACATGAATATCCAGTGACCAGTAACATGCGGTCAGGGGAGGCATGATGGAAAAATATATAAAAATAAAATAATTTATATTGCTATTTTCACCCTGTGGTTTGTAC